CCAGCAGCCCGAGGGGCAGCACAAAGCCAGAGCGGAGCGAACCGCGCCGCCCCCCCACCAGACGAAGCCAAAGCAGCACAGCCACGTCCGCTGCCCCCCCCCCCGCCGCCCGCACCAGGCCCTGACACGCGGCCAGAGCAGCTCCGCCGCCCCGGTCCCCCACCACGCGCCGGCCATAGCCACTCCAAGCCCCCACCCGCCCCGCAGCCCCACCCGCCGCGATCAGCGGGAACAGAGCAGCCCCGCCATGCCTCCAGGAGGGAAAACCCACCCGAACACCCAGCCAGCCCGCCCAGACCGGCCCCCCAACACCACCCCCGCCGGAGCCGCCCGGACCCCCACACACCAGCGGCGCGCCGCCAGCAGGACCCCCACCCAGCAGGCCCGCCCGCCCCCCGAGAAAACAGACATGCCAAACCCCCCCCAAAAAAAAAAAAAAAAAAAAAAGGAGCCCCCACAATGCAACAGCGGACACCAGACACCGTCCCGCCCGCAACCGCTCCCCCCCACCGAGGAAGAGAAATGAAAAAAAAACATAAATAAATAAATACAAAATAAATAAATAAATAGGTAAATAAATTAATTAATAAATAAATAATTACAATTAAAATAAATAGGCAAGAGGAGAAGTGCGAGCGGAAAAACCGGAGCCCAAAACAGGACCCAAGACCCTCACCCCACCATGCCGTGCAGCTCCCCCCCCCCCCGAACCGATACCACAGAACCGGCATAGGAAAGAAACACCGCCCAGGAACCGGCATCGTAGCGAAGGCACCGGCACCGACCCCGAAAATCCCCGAACAACAGCCAGCCCCACCCCGAAGCGGATCCAGTCCCAGGCCCGAGGGATCCGAGGCCCCAAGGGCACCCGATCCCCAGACAGGAGCCCCAGCAAAGCCCCGGCCGGCCGGGGCCAGCGGAGAGGCCGCCAGGAATGAGCCAGCAGTCCCCCGGGCATCCACCCCCAGACCCCCAGCTCCACCAGCGCACCGGTGAGCCCCGACGCCAGCCAGCGGAGGGAGAGCAGGACGGGGGGAATGGGCTCCGCACTTAGCGGAGACTTGAGATGTATTTGGGAGAGGGTGCGGTTGAGACCCCAACCTGGGAGAAAAAAAAAATAAAAAAATAAAAAACACACCATCTCAATCATGCCTCCCCTCCCTAGTGCCCCCACTCGTACCACAGGAAAAAAAAAAAATTGAATAAAATAATAATAATAATAAATAAAGAAAATAACAACGCGGACACACATTCACACATAACACTCACATCCAATAATACCAGGACCAAAAACCCGGTGACACCGGTGGTCGGTCCCGGGACTATCGGATGACCCCATAAGTGAACCTAAAATCCGGATGTGAGGGGAGGGGAGCGGCGACACCGCCACACCAACCCATCTCTTTCCTGCTTCAAGCCCGGCCCCCCACCCCGCACACGGACCGGACCGCCCCCAGCAAGAGCCCCCCCCGGGACCGGGGCCCACCCATCCCGCGCCGGCCACCCAGAACCGCCCCCCCCCCCCGAAAAAAAAAAAAAAAAAAACCTTCAACCAGGCACTTCATGCCCCTCCATCCAACCTTCTTTGGGGAGAGCAGAGGTGACAGCCCCGCCACCAGCAGGCCACCTAGGCCCCGCAGCCAGCCCCAGCCAAAACCACGGACCAGGTGGCCCGCTCTTCCTCCAGGCCCCAGACTCCAGGCGGCAGCCGGAGAACAGGGGTGTGAGAAGACCCCGATCCTCACTGCGCCCGCTCGAATGTGGTGTTGTTGCGTGTTGCTCTCAGATGCAATTAAAACTGGGAGTACCGAGAGGGGGTGTCCGGCACACTCCACCCCCTCTCCAGGAGATAGACGGTGCTTGTTTTGGAATTGAGAAGGTAAAAGAGACATTTTGCCAATGGAACAAGACAATTTACATTTAAAATAAGAAAACACAATTGCATTATCTTATTCCAAGTGCATTTTACCTAAATATCTTTTTTTAAGAGTAAAAATACTAATTCCATTGGCAAACTATCTGATTTACCTACTCAAATTAAGGGTAAATACACTTAATTTAAGACATTTTTACTTATTTCTATATCGTTTTTCCAGTGTAACGTCAAAATTCTGAGAAAAAAGTCTCAATTCTAAGATTAAAGTCAGAACTTTTTAAAATTTTTCCCATATTAAGCTGAAATAATATTTAAAAATCTATTCACTTTTTTATTTTTCCAGTGGCCCTAATCCTCTTCCGAAACTTCTCCATATATTTAACAAGCTAAAACAAACATATTAAGAGATTTAAATGACATCGAATACAGAAAACAAGATCACTGAATACAGAAAAAAAAACAATTAGTTGAAGTATAAATAAATCGTTAAAACAAATGGAAAACCCATTAAAAAGGGATATTTAAAAAATAATTTTTTTAATGGCATGAGTATCTACATGCAATACAAATAAACTTTGGAAATCAAAAAGAAAAAATAACGAATTTAACTGATTGTATTTATTTCATTCTGTTATTTCCTATTAAATAAATTAACCATAAATGCAATGAAATAAATGTATAGATGATTAGCAATAAACAAAATAGAATCATTTAAAGCTTAAAAATGACATTGTTACAATACCAAATAATTCTATACAAAGTTACCTTGAAAAATAAAAGATTACAAAAACAATAAAGTGGAAAAACATCATTCCAAAAGTGATCAAAAAGTAAAATATAAATCTATAGAACAGATTTTTTATTCCCTTTATCTCGTCTCTGTTTTGACTAAAGATCTTAAACAATCTTCCTCATTTTAAGACGTCTACACTGGAAAAAATCAAAATCAAGATAATTAATTTATTCTTAAAATAATTGCTTTTTCTTCTTGAATTGAGGAGAAAAAAAGAGACATTTTGCCAATGGAACAAGACAGTTTACATTTAAAATAAGAAAAAAAACAATTGCATTGTCTTATTTCAAGTGTATATTATCTAATTATCTTATTTTAAGAGTAAAAATACTCATTCCATTGTAAATCTCTAACATTTACCTGCTCAAATTAATGGTAAATACACTTAATTTAAGGATTCTTTGCTAATTTCTGGATTGATTTTACTGTGTAGCAGCTCTGTCTCCACACACTTGAAAAACATATAGAAATAAGTTAATATTTCCTAAATTAAGTGTATTTACCCTTAATCTGAGCAGGTAAACAAGATAACCTGCCAATGGAATGACGATTTTTACTTTTAAAATAAGGATAAAATTAGACATTCATTAGAAATAAGAGGCTGCAGTTGTTTTTTCTTATTTTTAATGTAATTTGCCTTATTCCATTGACAAAGTGTCTCACTTAACTGCTTCATTCAAGAAAAATTACTTATTTTGAGAAAAAATAAACTTACTCAGATGTCGATTTTTCACGGTGTGACCTGTTTCTCCTCTTTAATAAAGGGATTTCCTTCAGATTTCCCTCTCAGATGTTCCTTATAGACGTGTAAAGTTGAAATAAAGGGAGCGTTGGCTGCGATGTTTGTGGCTCTAGCAGGTCTATTTCTGTCCGCTGACAGCTGCCTGGGCCCTGCAGGCCTCTCTGTGGCAGCAGGAACCCCGAGGTGAAGAACCGGAGCAGCAGATCTCAGATCAGATTGGTAGAAAACAAAGAACGGGAACAAAAACAAGCAGACCCCCCCTTTCCTTACCTTGATGTGTGTGTTCCAGTGGTTTCTCACCTCCAGCTTAATGAAGCGGCTCCTCTGAAGCTGACCGAGGCCCCCTCTGACTCTGCTTCCTAAACTTAGACCCTCTCCCCCTCCCCCCCCCAGGCCTGTGGACGCTCAGACACCCGACACCAGGCCTGCAGGTATCCGAGTAGTTTTACTCCCTCAGTGAGTTCCTTCTTTCCTCTCCATCCTCTGATCGTTGCTTCCTAAGCACACTTCTTCCCTTCATTTCCTTTCCTAGTTTTTTTCCTTTTGCTTCTACACTAAAAAAACTGTAAATCTAAATAAGTCATTTTTTCTTAAAATAAGTACATTTCTACTTAAGGTAAGTGAAACAGTTTGGCAATAAAACAAGACAATTTACATTTAAAATAAGAAAAAAAACAATTGCGTTGTCTTCTTTTAAGTACATTTACGGAAGAGGATTAGGGCCACTGGAAAAAAAAAAAGTTAAGTTAACTGATTTTTTCTAAATTTTATTTCAGTTTAACGTGGGAAAAAAAGTCAGAATTCTGACTTTTTTCTCAGAATTCTGACTTTAATCTCAGAATTCTGACTTTTTTCTCAGAATTCTGACTTTGTTTATTGTCAGAATTCTAAGAAAAAAGTCAGAATTCTGAGAAAAAAGTCAGAATTCTGAGATTAAAGTCAGAATTCTGAGATTAAAGTCAGAATTCTGACTTTTTTCTCAGAATTCTGACTTTGTTTATTGTCAGAATTCTAAGAAAAAAGTCAGAATTCTAAGAAAAAAGTCAGAATTCTGAGAAAAAAGTCAGAATTCTGACTTTTTTCTTAGAATTCTGACAATAAACAAAGTCAGAATTCTGAGAAAAAAGTCAGAATTCTGACTTTAATCTCAGAATTCTGACTTTTTTCTCAGAATTCTGACTTTGTTTATTGTCAGAATTCTAAGAAAAAAGTCAGAATTCTGAGAAAAAAGTCAGAATTCTGAGAAAAAAGTCAGAATTCTAAGAAAAAAGTCAGAATTCTGAGAAAAAAGTCAGAATTCTGAATTTTTTCCGATATCAAGCTGTAATAAAATGTAAAAATTAGCTAACGTTTATTTAATTTTTTTCATTGGTCCTAATCCTCTTCGGTAAGAAATAGCACAAAAATGTAAATATATGTAGATCTTTGCTTCAAAGTTTCTGTAGGTAAAACGATTCATCAGCAAATTATTACAAATTTTTAAAAAAGGATTTATTGATTTCTTTTTTATGATTGTTTATGTAAAAAAAAAAAGATTTTTAAGTGATAAAAGGTCTCTTTATTTAGTTTTTTTTTCTCTCCTTATGATAAGGAGGGATTCTGGTTGCCATGGAGACGCCTAAGGAAAGCAAAGAGCGCAGCGACCAGACCGTACCTGATGGAGGTGAAGAGGAGGAGGAAGAGGAGAAGGTGCGAGGAGTTCAGGCTCATTACCTGCGCTGCCCGTCTCCCAGGTAGGAGGAACCACCTGGATGGAAACCTCTGAATCCATCCACAGGGTTTCACCAGCTGGAGGTGAAGCATCAGAAACCTAAGCAGCTCTGTGTGGTTTATGGTACGATTCTCCTGCAGCTTCTCCACGGCTTCAGACTCCAGGTTTTCCCTGATTTCTGGTTCTGACGCCGCCAGCATCTTCATGGAGCCCATCCACCTGTCCTCCGCCGTCGCTGCCAAGAAGATCATCAATGAAGGTAAAGCTGATCAGACGACCTTTCTTCCATCCGGCTCGGTCAGACCGGACAGAGAACGTCACATTTTAACTCCTGGCACAGATTTAGGTCTGTACTTTGACTAGGCCGTTCTAACATAAGGACATGTTTTCATCATAGCGGGTCGTTTGGCTTATTTTCCTCATTCGGCTCCATCTTTACTGGAAAAATGATCTAGAAATGAGTAAAAATCTAAATAAGTCATTTTTTCTTAAAATAAGTACATTTCTACTTAAGGTAAGTGAAACAGTTTGGCAATAAAACAAGACAATTTACATTTAAAATAAGAAAAAAACAATTGCGTTGTCTTCTTTTAAGTACATTTACGGAAGAGGATTAGGGCCACTGGAAAAAAAAAAAGTTAAATTAACTGATTTTTTCTAAATTTTATTTCAGTTTAACGTGGGAAAAAAGTCAGAATTCTGACTTTTTTCTCAGAATTCTGACTTTTTTCTCAGAATTCTGACTTTTTTCTCAGAATTCTGACTTTTTTCTCAGAATTCTGACTTTTTTCTCAGAATTCTGACTTTGTTTATTGTCAGAATTCTAAGAAAAAAGTCAGAATTCTGAGAAAAAAGTCAGAATTCTGAGAAAAAAGTCAGAATTCTGAGAAAAAAGTCAGAATTCTGAGGTTATAGTCAGAATTCTGACTTTTTTCTCAGAATTCTGACTTTTTTCTCAGAATTCTGACTTTTTTTCCCACGTTAAACTGAAATAAAATTTAAAAATCAGTTAACTTTTTTTTTTCAGTGGCCCTAATCCTCTTCCGTATACATTTTTATCAAATTCTTATTTTAAGAATAAAACACTCATTCCATCGGCAAACTATCTCATTTTCCTACTCAAATTAAGAGTAAATACATTTAATCTCAGAAATTTTTACCAATTTCTAGATCTTTTTTGCAGTGTATGAACTTTATCTCTATCCATCTGATGATTTAGGTTCCCCAGCAAACTTCCTCCCTTTAAACCTCCCATCATTCCTTCCCTTTATGTTTCTTCTCCATCCCTCCTTTCTGTGTTTCTTTATATATTTCCTCTCATCTTTATTTTCCTCTTTAGTAAAATCCTCGTTCCTGCTCTCCCGTCTCCTTGGACACTTCCAACTTGTTGCATTGCATCTCTTCCCCATGCAACCAGCCATTTCCTCTCTTTAATTTTCATTATCTGTGAACCAAGGTTCTTCACTGGAAAAACGATCTAGAAATAGGTCAAAATTTCTTAAATTAGCGTATTTACCCCTAGTGTGAGTAGGTAAATGAGATAGTTTTCAAATGGAATGAGGATTTTTACTCTTAAAATGAGATTTTTAGGTGAAATGAACTTGAAATAAGGCAATTCAATTGTGCTTTCTTATTTTAAATGTAAATGGTCTTGTTAAGTCGGCAAAATGTCTCTTTTTTCTCCTCAATTCAAGACCAAATGCACAAATTTTAAGAAAAAAATGACCCATCTCGAATATTTTCTGTTGTTATAAGTAAAACTGAGAAAATCTTGACTCATAAAATCCATTATCTAAAAAGTGTTGCCTCCATAGATCTGATTAATATTCATCTTCACCATGAACCAAATGAGCTGTTCTCAGGAACAAACAGCTCCAAGGCAGCCGTTGTTTATCTGCAGGCTGCTGACCATCATCAGGACTATTTATACTCCGCCTGCTGCTGATTATAGAGTCAGAGTCTGAGCTCATGCTTTCTAACCGGGGCAGAGCTGATAGCAGCCGTCATTCCTGCAGGTGGAGGGTTAAGTCAGGTAACTAGGTACATTCTTAATCCTACCGTGTCCCTTTAGAGAGGTTTGATCAAACTCAGTAAACTCTTTAACTCTCACTCAACAATCACCTTTAAGTTGAAGGTAAATCGTATTTAAATGTTAAATCATTCTGGCTTAAACATGTATATAAATGTGTTCTTTAACAGAATATATTGTCCCAAAATTTAGAACATTTCTATAAAAAAACAAAACACTTTTTTTTTGTTATCTGGCCAGTTAGTTCTACGTCAGCCTGAACACCTAATTCAACCAATCATATATCAACGGTCATCTGTCAATCAAATTTTTTCGGTCATAGCATCTTGATTCATCTGTCGCAGCTAATATACGCAACGGTTGAAATCAGAATCCTTTCCTTTCCCATTGAGTTGCGTCCCAGTGTTCACGGGGATGGACGTCTGTGTCTTCGGCAGGCGTAGAGCTAACAGAACTGGCAGCGTTGCGAGGCAAGGGCTCAAACATGTACGGCTGGAAGCCTTCTACACCAAACCAAGCTTCTGCCGCCCTGGCGTCCTCTTCCACAGCATCTTCGTCCCCGCTTTCCTCCTCTAAATAAAAAATGGATGACGGAGGAGACTCATCCACGACCTCCGACACTAAACTCTCCTCCTCTTGCATGTTTCCGCTGTCCATAGCGTTCCTTGACAGCGTCATTTCTAAGTCACCAATTTAGTGCTACTTGGTCCCAATGGAATTTCCCATTGGGAACCTGCTAGCACTAAGATGCTAACTGGCTAGCAAGATGCTTCCGACAAACCGGCCACAACCAAACTTGCTTGCGAACCGTCCACCACAAGAATCCCGCCCCCTTGATAATCGACCAATCACATTCACTTGTGTAAAGTCGGGCACCACTTGGTAGAATTCGCCTCTTTAGCATCATTATAAAATTAAATAAAATATTAAATCTCTCTATAGACCCATAATAATCATGCTTTATTTACCTAAAGTAATATATTTAACGTGTCAGTGGTTCAAAAGTAAAAATAAGAATCTGGAATGAAATAATGATATAAATGATGGCATTTCTGTTGATATTTCCCTGTAATTCACCTAACAGTCGTAAATTTGACCAATTTAATTATTTATTTAATTTGATAATTGCCTGTAAAATAAAATAAACAAAAACAAGGATTTATCTCTTCTACTGCATCCCATTAGAATAAAGCTAAAGCAAATATTTTATCTGGAAGACTTTTCTCAGCGTCACCTGGAGAACCTGCCGATGTTCCACGCTCAGGTTCCAGCCAATCGATGGTAAGACCGCGCCTCCTCCGAAGCCAATCAGCTTCAGCCGGTAGCCACGTTTCCCTCCCACATGCCAATTAACTTTCACCCACCTCCTCCTCCCTCAGACCCCCGGAGGGGAAAACTACTCTAATCCTTTTTCTTAGTTACTCATCAAAACGAATGTCGATTCACAGCACCAAAGTCTTCTGCCTGGGCCTGAGCGCCAAAGAATGTATTTCCTGCAATTAATTGCAGCTTTTCTCTGAGTCTCTCTAGGTTGAAATAGTTGTATTTTATTTAAAAAAAAATTGTAGTTTTTCTCAAAATAAGTGAATTTCCTGAGCAGGTAAGACAGTTTTAAAGTTTTCTTTAAGAAGAAACATCTTAATCCAAGTTTAACGTGTCTAAATATATTTTTTTAAGGCCAAAATTACAAACTTTGTTGGTAGATCTTATTTACCTGCTCAGATTAAAGACAATAATCAAATTTTGAGAACATGTTTACTAAATATTAGACTTTGATTCATTTTGTCATTTTGTAAACACGAATGTAAAAAAAAAGAAATTTCATTTAAAACAGCTCTAGAAAATTTCATTTTTTAAAGTGCAGCCTTGAAAACATTAATAAAATAAAATGCAGGTTTGAAGTCTAGTTTTTAAAGTTTTAAGCAGCATATTTTAAGAAGTTGTCAAGAGGAGCTGTTCTTGGCTGCTGCTTTGGAGCGTCGCCATGGTAACCAGTAAAAAGCAGGTTATTAGATCAGTATTTGCATTTACACAAAATCCAATGCAGATAAATTCATTTATTTGACTCAAATAAACTAAATTTAGATTCAAAATTTAGCATTTTAATTCATAGGTTTACATCTGAGTTATGCTCTTTCTTTAAATCAAATCTTTTTTATGGCTGCAGTTTAAACTCTATGTCCATTTTAAACATCTGCACTACAAAAAAAATTTATCTAAATAAGATAAGATTTCTTAAAATAAGTGCATTTGTTCTTGAATTGAGGAGGTAAAAGAGACATTTTGCCAACACTGATGTCAGCAAAATGTTAGCAGGGTAGGACATAAAACAATATTGTTAAAGTAACTAAATATGATTAAGTAAATGCAAAAAACAGATACATTATTTTTTTGTGTGAATGGAACGAGGTGATTTACATTTAAAATAAGGAAACACAATTGCATTGTCTTATTTCAAGCACATTTTATCTAAATATGTTATTTTAAGAGTAAAAATACTCATTCCATTAGCAAATCATATTATTTACCTACTCGGATTAATGGTAAAGACATTTAATTTAAGACATTTTCTGCTTATTTTTAGTTGTTTTTCTTTGCACTGCAAAAAATCTAAGTTAATTTTTTGTTTTAAACAAGTGCATCTCTTGTTGAATTGAGCAGGTAAGTGAGACACTTTACCAATGGAACAGGACTTTTTACATTTATAAGAAAAAAAAGAGACTGCAGTCTCTTATTTCAAGTGCATTATTTCTAATTTATCTCATTTAAAGGGTAAAAATGCAGATTCCACTGACAAATCATTTTATGATCCTACTCAAAGTAAAAAAAACTTGTTTGAAGACATTTTTACTGTGTTTTAGAGCGTTTTTGCAGAGCGTGTTTCCAACTATGCTAAATGAAAGACCCTCTCCTTCAATGACGTTATGAATCGTCAAACCAGAAGCTCTATTTCACTTATTTCTTTAACCTTAATCACAGAGGTCATAAGAGAATAAAGTTTATATATATATACACGGGTGGCAGCTTTCATGCATGGACTCTCCCTCCACTGCTTTTCCCACAGAAGGTATGAATCACCATAGCAACCAGCAGTCTTCTCACTCATGCAAGTTATTAAAAGTTAGATATTTGTTCCGTTTCATTATCCGTCATCCTTGAAGATGTCCTTTTTTTCCCCCCAGATATCCCTCCACCGCGCTGCAAACAAAGCCGAGACCAGGTGAGTATAAGCAGACTTTATTCACTGGGATGGAAAAGCGCTTTGAGTCGATGAAACATCCGTTATGACACAAACCTACAGAGAAAACCCTGAAAACAGACCTTCATCTCACAAACCACAGAAATCAACTTTACA